GAGTGGGAGGTTTGGGAGGCTCTCCGGGCTGGGGCTGGAGGTTGCTGGAGTTGAGGGCAGGGAGTGGGGGCCTCAGGGCACAAGGTTTGGTTTGTGGTGGGGGCCTCAGGGCAGGGGGCTGGGAGGAGGGAGTACACTGGGGCCACTCATAGCAGCAAGGGTGGCGCTGATCCAGCAGCGGGTCCTCCGGGGGCCAGGGCTGCACTCCCTGGCTGGTGGCTCCTCCTGGGAAGCTGGGGTTGGGAGGCCGACCCTGGCCTCCAGCTTGTCTGGGGGGTGCGGGGCTCTGTGGGCCAGTCCTGGCCTCCAGCTACCATGCCCAGACTGGAGCTGTTCGGGAGGAGCAGGGCTCTGGGGATCTGGCCCCAGCCTCCAGCTGCCCCCTCCTCTCCCTGCAGCTGGTTACGGGGGGAGTGCTGCCCCCTCCCCTCCCTGCAGCTAGTAGGAAGAGGACTGGGGCTCCACAGGTCAGCCCTAGCTTCCAGTGCCCCCTGCAGTTGGTCCGAGGGGACAGGGCTCCAGGGGGTGGCCCTGGTCTCCTGTGGTCCCCTGGCCTGTAGCTGGTCTGGTGCTGGGCCACAGTTCCCAGCCTCAGCCTCTCCTTGTGGGGAGAGCACTCTCCTCTGAGAGGGGTGTTTCCTCGGGGTAGGTCTGGGTCACAGCCCTTCCGGGGGGGGAGGGGCGGGGAACCTCTCTTCAGGTTCCTGGCCTCTCCTCTGGGGAGGGGGGCTTCTCCTGGGGAGGACCAGTCTGCACTGCCCATCCCTAGGGGTGGTCCCAGGGGGAGCCATGACAGCATGGCCAGTGGGTCCCCCCCCCATCTGGCACTGTTTGGGGCAGTGGGGACTCTTACCTGATCCATTGCATACAGCTCTCCCTCTGATCTACCCCCTCCCTTTCCATGTTACGGAAAACAATCCCATTCCAGGCACTTCCCATTTTCCGGGCACAACCAAACCCTGACCTTGCTTCAAATTAGGATGAGAGGAAACTGCCTACAAAAGCTGGTCCTAGCTCTTATTTAGGAGGAGTTTTTGAACAAACAGTCGGACAGATGCAGGTTTCTAAAATATACAGTAAGATCTGCATGGTAGTAGTGCCTGTGGCCCTCAAGCAGGGATCAGGACACTCTCTGTGCTAAGCGATGGACAAATACAACAATTGCCGTGACTGTCCTGAAGAGCTTACACTCCTAATAGGTCAAACCCTAAACCAGAAAGCGTGATGCCTGCTGGAAAGCACACCGCAGTGTGCAGCAGTTGAAGATTAGCAGATCCTGTTCCTATGGTCAAGTACACACCACTCAGGCCAACTTTCTCACCTGAGTCTGGTAAACTGGGAAGCGAGGAGGGGACTTACGGTCCATGGGTTTGCAAGGAAGAAAGAATCTGCAATTGGAGTAATAGAGAGGTATGAATCTTGGACATTTTTTTCCCTTATATGCTGCTTTGAATTCATAAGAACCTAAGAACGGCCATATTGGGTCAGACCAAAGGTCCATTTAGCCCAGTGACCTGTCTTTGGACAGTGGCCAATGCCAAGTGCCCAAAGGGAATGACCAGAAAAGGGAATCATCAAGTGATCCCTCTCCGTCATCCACTCCCAGCTTCTGAAACAGAGGCTAGAGACACCATTCCTGCCCATCCCGGCTAATAGTCATCGATGGACCTAACCTCCATAAACGCATCTGGTATTTTAACAACCCTGTTCTAGTCTTGGCCTTCACAACAGCCTCTAGCAAGGAGTTCCACAGGTTCTGCATTGTGTGAAAAAAATACTTTTGTTTTAAACTTGCTTCTTTTTAATTTTGTTTGGTGAATTCTGACAGTGATAGTAATGAACGGGCAGTGATAATCTCACAATACATTTATACAGTCATTTATTCCAAAGGATCCCAAAGCACATTACAAACGATGAGCCAGATCATCAGCCTTTGTTTCCTCTTATGAATATGCTACTTCAGAAATGTAGCCACTTCTAGCATGACAAATAGAAAGAACCAGCTTATATAATAGTACTAAAGTGTCTTTGGGTATATATGTTAGTTCGAACTAACGGACGTTAGTTCGAACTAACATTCATAGGCGCTACACTAGCGCTCCGCTAGTTCGAATTTAAATCGAACTAGCGGAGCGCTTAGTTCGAACTAGGAAAACCTCATTTTACGAGGATTAAGCCTAGTTCGAATTAAGGGGTGTGTAGCCCAAAATGCTAATTCAAACTAGTTTTTAGTTCTAGATGCGTTAGTTCGAATTAGCTTAGTTCGAATTAACTAATT